GAAAATGGAAAGAAGAAGAAAAAAACAACCAAAAACTCTCTATGGAGGGCAAGGCCTTGGAGAGGTGGTGGAGGCAGGGGCCACGAGTGGGGACACAGGGCAGGTGGAGGGCTTCGGGATAGGAGAGGGCTCGGTTGTGAAGTCCGGGGAGCCTGGGTCAGGTCCCTGCCCCTGCATGGGTCTGCCGAGCCGGGGACCGGAACCGGGAGCAGGGAGGGCGGAGGAGGCCGCTGGGTGGAGGAAAACGTCGTTCCAATGCGGCCACCGATGCTGCCGCTGAAACAGCGCGCTGTCCCCCGGGGAAAAAAAAGAAGCCGCGACGGGGTCACCCCGGGCAACGTCGCCGCCCACAGAACGTTGGCTCAAAGGGGGTGGGAATGGAGGGGTAGGGAGGGCGCGGTCCCGGGCCTCAGAGTTCCGGCGGTGTGAGGTGGGGCGCCAGCGCATGCGCACTAGCCGAGGCCGCGCGCACGTCCCCAGCGCGCAATCGCGGCGCCTCCAGGCCGCCACACCCGGCCGACGCTCGGGCGGCGACCGTTGGTCTTACGAGGTAGGCCTGGGTCCGGCGAGGCGACGCGTAAGGCCGGGAGGAGACGCTGCGACCCACCCGCCCTCCACCCGCTACTCACAACACTAGTCAGGACCGTTTGCTCCCGGGACTTGTCAGCAACGGCCCAAAGCGGTAGCAACACCGTCACGACAATACTCCAGCGCCCAGCTGGCTCTCCTAGGCTCCGACGTCCTAACCGCGACGTCCTGACGTCACGAGGCCGACTCGCCAGCCTCCTGTCTCCCTCAGCAACCAATGAACGGCGCCGCTCGCCTTGAGCCCGCCTCCTACCCACGCAATCAGACGCGATGAGCACCTGAAGTTAAGCCGGAAGTCGGGGCTGGGACGGTAGCCCCGAGGGGACAAACGCAACTTTCCCGTGCGGCCGAGTGTGCCCGGGCTGCTCGCCTTGTTTTGACTCAGCAATCGGTAACCCTTATTATCTGTCCCTAGGGTGTACACGGGGGCCGTGGGGTTGTGACGTGGGAGCCCGGGGAGAGCACGATACGCTGGAAACTTGGGGAGGGTGAGGAACAGCCCTCCACCCAGAGGGACGCGGCCCTAGTTTATTAAATAAGCCTGGGATGGTGCTCCGGGCCCGAGGAAGGGCGAGTTCGAATCTCAGGAGGCTGGAAACGAGCGTGGCTTGTGTGTGTGTGGAGGTGGGGGGGGGGCAGGCATGGTAGGTCCTGGTACGAAGGCAAGGGTCTGGAGGGTTGGAAGGCCGTCGACGTTTTGGCCATTGAACCAAGTCTTTAACCTCTTCCTTCCCCGCCACCCTTTTGTTTTCCACCGGGACTGGATGGAATTTTTCCAGTCCAGACCACTCAGCGGCAAAACACCAAGAACTAGTTACCTCCCCTAACACTAGTGTCTTTGGACAGCTACAAACTAACTTTGTTCATTATATTGTTAGTGGTAGGATGGTAGTTCTTCCCTTCCCACCCACCCTCTAATCCTTTTTAACTTGAGCTTTGTTTTCAAATAGTAAAATTTATTTTTTATTTTTTTGCCAGTCCTGGGGCGTGAACTCGGGTCCTGGTCGCTGTCCCTGAGCTTCTTTTGCTCAAAGCTAGTGCTCTATCACTTGAGCCACAGCGCCACTTCTGGCTTTTTCTGTGTATGTGGTGCTGAGGAATGAAACCCCGGGCTTCCTGCCTGTTAGGCAAGCACTCTTACCACCAAGCCACATTGCCAGCCCAAATAGTAAGAATTTTATTTATTGTATCTTAGGTATTTATTTTGTCCCAGTACTGGGGCTTGAACTCAGGGCCTGGGTAGTCTTTAGCTTTTTCCACCCAAGGCTGGCCCTCAGTCATGGATTTTCCTGCCAGGGCTGGCTTCCATCCACAGATCTCAGCCTCCTGAGTCACTAGGATTACAAGTGTGAGTCACTGGTGCCCAGACTGGAATTTTAGACTTACAAAAAATTTTGCTAAGCCATACATGCTCTGCCCAGGCCCCACCTCATGCTACCATGTCACATTACCACCCCTTGTTAAGAATAAGAAACTGACTTTGGCACATTGCTCTTAGCTAATCCCCAGAGTTTATTTGGGCTCCAATTCTTATATGTCTTCCACTGATGTTCTTTGGGTGGATCGGGGCATAATAATCAAAGGCCAAAGGCATCATGTTGCATTTGGCTTCCTTTTGCTCATCACAGCAGAGCTGAGTATCCTGGATTTATGATGCTCCTCCTCCGCTTGATGAGGCAGTTGAATTCAACAGGTCAAGTGACTTGCCAGGGCATCCACCAGGTGGCCCTAGGCACTTCTTGATGTGGCCTAGATGCTTTGTATCACACCCAGCTCCGGGATCTGGTCCGCAATCCCTATGGAGAGGCTGTCTTGCAGAGAGCTCAGTCACTTGCCAACTTCTCTTTTTGATGGATTTTGGCTTCCATTGTTTAGCTGATCAAAGTGGTTTTAGTGCAGACAACTTTTAATACAAACCTTAAGCTGCCTGTGCTTTTCTTCCTGGAAATCAGTTCCCCAAAGCAGGATTTCTGGGATACAAGGCACAGTTTTCATCTTCTCCTAGATAAGAAGTTTTTTTGCTTTCTGTTTTCTTGGCTGGTCCTAGGGCTTGAACTCAGGGCCTGGGCTCTGTCCCTGAGCCTCTCTGTGTTCAAGGCTAGCACTACTTGAGCCACAGCACCACTTCTGGCTTTTTCTGCTTATGTGGTGCTGAGGAATCAAACCCAGGGCTTCAAGCATGTGTGGTAAGCAGTCTACTGCTAAGCCACATTCCCAGCCCATGAGTAGATTTCTTTCTTTTTTTATATTTGGTTGTGGGGCTTGAACTCTGGGCCTAGGCACTGTCCCTCAGCTCTTCAGCTCTAGGTGAGCGCTCTACCACTTGAGCCACAGCGCCACTTCTGGTTTCCTGGTGGTTTATTGGAGATAAGAGTCTCACTGACTTTCCTGCCTGGGCTGGCTTTGAACCTCGATCCTTGGATCTCAGCCTCCTGAGTAGCTAGGATTACAAACGTGAGCCACTGTGCTCGGCGATTTCTTTATTTTTAATGCAAACAGTTGTGGCAGTTGACAGGCTTGGAAGCTCTTCCAGTGCCCCATTTAAATCCTGTGATGACCAGATAGTGGAGAGAAGAAGTTCTGTTTGTTCTGAATTACATTTCCTGATCATTAGAAATCCACTGTCACCTGGTACTGGTTGCTCATTCCTACAATCTAGATATTCAGGAGGCTGAGATCTGAGGCTTGTCTTTTGAAGTCGGGAGGGGCAAGAAAATCCTTGAGACTCTATCTCCAATTAAAACTACCTGAAAACCAGAAATGGTGCTGTGGCTCTTCAGTGGTAGAGCATTAGCCTTGAACAAAAAAACCTAGGGACAGCACCCCAGGCCTTGAGTTAAGCCCCTGTGCTGACCAAAAAAAAAAAAAAAAAAGGCAGGAGTGAGATGTCTTTTGTTTGTTTGCTGCTTTTGGGAGTTTTGATTCATTGAATATTCATCTCGGTCTTTTTTTTTTTTTTGGTTATAGGGCTTGAACTCAGGGCCTGGGCACTGTCCCCTAGCTCTTTAGCTCAAGGCGAGCGCTCTACTCCTTGAGCCACAACACCACTTGTGGTTTTCTAGTAGTTTATTGGAGATGAGAATCTCACAGACTTTCCTGCCCTGGCTGACTTTGAACCATGATCCAGATCTCAGCCTCTTGAGTAGCTAGGAATACAGGCATGAGCCACTGGTGCTCAACTCACTTTTTTTTTTTTTTGGGTCCGGTCGTGGGGCCTGAACTCTGGGGCTGGGCTCTGTCCCTCAGCTTTTCAGCTCAAGGCTAGCGCTCTACCACTTGAGCCACAGCGCCACTTCCGGCTTTTTTCTTTTTATGTGGTGCTGAGGAATCGAACCCAGGGCCTCATGCATGCAAGGCAACACTCTACCACTGAGCCACCTTCCCAGCTCCAGACTCACTTATTTTTTATATTGTCTTTGTTTTGGTGGTTGTGGGGTTTGAACTCAGAGCGTAGGCGCTGTCCCTGAAGCTCTTTTGCTTTGGTCTAGTGCTCTGCCACTTTGAGCCACAGTTCTACTTCCAGTTTTTGAGTGGTTAGAGATAGGAATCTCCCACAGACTTCAAACCATGATCCTCAGATCTCAGCCTTCTGAGAAACTAGGATAACAGGCGTGAGCCACCAGCACCTGCCATTTGTCATTTTCTTAAAGGAACTTTTGTATATTATGTGTTTAGCATATTTCCTTGCCATAATTGTTAAAAAGCAAACATACATAATTTCCCAGATTGTAAATTTGCCTTTTGGCTTTACTGTCTCCCTTTTTACTCTCTGACCCATTGAATATATTATCTTTCTGTCTAAAGCCCTCTCCCCTCCACTGCTAAACAATGTGCACATGCCCTTTCTTTTTGGTGATACTGGGGTTTGAATTCAGGGCCTCTGACTCACTCCGCTTGCTTACTTGCTTGTGTGGCTGGTGCTTTACCATTTCACCCACAATACTGGCCTGGCTTCTTGCTGGTTATTTCAGAGGGAATATCACACTTTTCTGCCCACACTGGCTTTGAACTGCAGTCCTCTGGATTCTACTTCCTGAGTAGCTGGGATTACAGGGTGAGCTATCAGCACCTGGCCATATATTCTCTTCATTTGTGACCCTTTCATGGGTACACCTTTATTGAGCTTTTCACATATCTTACAGGGGAGGTTTGGGCTGATGGACAGCCAAGTCGATTCAGCGTCTTACGTCGCTTCTAAACCAGCTGGGCTTTCTCAGACCAGAAGCTGGTCTTCTGTCGTGTGTACACACACACTTCGTTTACTCTGTCCCCCAAAGCCTGTTTTCTTGAGCCAGGATACACGTATGGCTTTCAGGACTGGGGCCACACAGGGCTTGGCTCTGGGGGAAGGTCATCTCCCTAGCCCAGCCAGGAGCAGAATCCATACAGTGGAGAAAGGAGGCAAATCTAGATGCTTGTAAAATAAAGTCTTCCCTTTTATTTCAAGTCAACCCTTTTCCAAGTTAGTGCCGCCAGTGGAGATCAGGGGGCCAGAGCCCACTAAGCTACGGCAGGGGCAGGCAATTCATATCCCTGGCCCCCGGGCCAGTCCCTCCCAGGAGGGGACTGGCAGCAGGGGAGGAGGGATGCAGGGCAGTCAGTCTGCCCCCTCCCCTGCTAGACCAGGTCCCTGCCCTACTCCTTCAGCTCTCCCCAGGGCTAAGACAAAGGTGGGCCTTGGGGCCGAGGCAGGAGGCAGTCCCGGGCAGGGTGTCTGTTGCCAGCAGTGTTAGTGGTCAGAGCCCAGTCGGGGCCAAGTTAGTAGAGCCTCCTCCAGCAGCCAGGAAAGGAACTGCAGAGAGGCAGAGACAAGGCCTTGACCCAGGCTGTGGGACCCCAGTGCACACCTAGCCAACAAGAGAGCCCGCCATGGGGGGTGGGGAGGGACATAGCCCAGCCACTGACCAGGGTTTCAGCCCAGTGCTTACTGGAGAGGGTTGTTGGGCTCCAGGCTGGCTGGGAAGAGGAGCTCAGATGGATGACTGCCACTGCACAAAGCGCTTGGACTCCTGCCCAGGGACATGGAAAAGACAGTAGATGAAGCATGATTCTAGCTGCACCATGGACCCAAGTTCTCCTCCCTCAGACCAGTATCCAGGCCCCAGCCTCCTCTCTCTGACTTGTCTGTGTACCTGAGGGTTGAAAGGGTCATCGTCATCGGTATCCTCGTAGTCATCACTAGCAGGAGATGGGGGAGTGGCAGAGAAGCAGGATGGGACCCATCAGGAGGCAGCCCCCCACCCCCCAGCAGCTCCTTCCCTGGTATCCCACCCCGTCCCCAGGCTGACCTTGGTGGGAAGAGGGCCCAGGCACGGGGAAGGCTGCAGAGTGCCGTGGCCAGGGCCCCGGCTGACAGGAGGGAGAAGAGCATCAGGAAGAGCAGGCCCTCCAGGGCGTCTTCACACAGGCCCCGCAGCGCTGCCCCATAGTCCTGGGGTGGGAGAGGGGGCATCAGCACACATGCCAGGCACGCCGCACATACGGCAAGCCATCTACCTGGCCCTGTGAGGTCACTCGGTCAAAGGGTGTCCCGCTGGTAGGAGACCACATGTGTGCACAGACCTCCACAGAGCTGCTGCCCCAGCCCATGTCTGCCCAGCACCCCACATCTGAATCAGCCATGCCTCCACACATTTCCAAATACCTCCTGTGTCTAACATATCACCTGGCTAACACTTAGAATGAGACCTCACAGGTGGCACACAGCAGTGCTGCCCATGGTGGCCACCATCCCAGGGGGTCGGCAGGGCTGTGGTGACCTGAATGTCCTCCCAGTGCCAACTGGCCAGCCCATGCCATGGGGATGGAAGGACCCGGAACTGGGGGCCATGCGTGCATGGGACCTAAAAGGTCATGTCCAGTACTAAGCTGGTGAGACAAAAAGATCTGGGGGGCAGTGCTGGGCAGAGGCCACCTCAGACCATGACCAGGCCAGCAGGGGTGGAGTATGAAGAGCCTGGTGGCTGGGCCAGGCCAGAGAGCTGTGGCCAGAGCTGCCCACCAGAGCCTTTCTGGGTCAGGCTTTAATCCGTGAGGGGGATTTCAGCAGAGGCCGACCTTGATCGGATTGTGTGTTCAAGGGCTCCCCAGCTGTTGGCCGTGGCCAGACAAGGGTTGGGTAAGAGGGGGCTGGAGGGGCTCAGCTGCCATGGAGTGTGGATGGCAGGGCCCAAGTGTGGGCCGGGCCGGAATTCCGGGTGGGCTCCCGAGGACTGAGGGAGAGCAGACCTTGTGCAGGCCGCGGCAATGCAGTAGCGCCACCAGCTGGTGGAAGTTTCCCTCGGTCACATTCAGCGTCTCCTCCAAGGACAGCAGCGGCTTCTGTGGTGGGAAGAGAGTAGTCTATTTACATCAAGATCGCCAGCCCCGCCCACCAGTCTTGCCCCGCCCACGATGACAGGCCCCGCCCGTAGCCTTTCTTTCCCTTCCCACAGCCCCGCTTACCATGCAGGCCCAGCTTCAGAGACCTGACCTACCTTGCCCCAATCCTGGAGGCCACGCCCCTTCCACAAGCCACGCCCCCGGGAGACGCCCACTCAGCCAACCCGCCCCTGCCCAGGAGTTCTCCCCGCCTTCCTCCTGCCTGGGCTGGGGCGGTCAGTCCACCTGAGCTGCTGGGAACTGGGGGACGGCTTCTCGCTCCAGGCCTTGCAGCTGGGAGTGGATGTTGGCCAGCGCCCTCTGGGATAGAGTCAGTCTCTGTGGGAAAATGAGGTCCAGGACCCGGGTCCTTTCTCCACCCGCAGAACACAGGCCGCTGTGCTCCTCTCCCTGGGGACCCGAGTCCCGGCTCCAGTTCCCCCCACCCAGGGGTCCTCATCCATTCCCCTGTCCCTGGGCACCCATGGCCCTTGCCGACCGGCCACACCTGTTGGAAGGGGTTGGAGACGTCCTGGTTGCACAGGAAGTAATAGCTCAGGATGTCTGCCGTGGAGGAGGAGAGGGAGGAAGCTGAGTTTGGAGAATATGGATGGGGGCAGGTCCCAGGGTCTCTTCCCCAGCTCTGACCTCTGTTGGCCTCCAAAGGTCCTGACTTTAGTTCCCTCAACACTTTCTTTTTTTTTTTTTAATTTTGTTTTTGGGGCCTGAACTCTGGGCCTGGGCACTGTCCCTCAGCTCTTCAGCTCAAGGCTAGCCTCTACCACTTGAGCCACAGCACCATTTCCAGCTTTTTTCTTTTTTCTTCTGTGGTGCTGAGGAATCAAACCCAGGGCCTCATGCATGCAAGGCAAGTGCTCTACCACTGAGCCACCTTCCCAGCCCCTCCCCTCAACACTTTCTATTTCCGAGTCTTCCTGTGGCCCAAGGGTGGCCTTCAACTTCAGCTCCTCCTGCTTGGGACTTCCAGGTGCTGGGGTTGCCGCAGATTCCATCAGGCCCACCTTCCTCACCCCCTCTGCTCCTCCCATAGCCAAATCCTCCTACCCTGAGAGAGGGAGCCTGTATCCTACCCTTGTCTGAGACCTCCCCATCCCCCTTCTCACACACCATCTTTTCTAGCCTGCCAGGGCAGGGGCCCAGGGCTTCTGCAGGATTTGTGCATTGCTCAGCATCCAGCCCACTCTGGACTGGGCACTATGGCAGCCTAAGGAAAGCAGGGACCATAGGAGTCACCTGAGCTGAGCCCCGTCTCTTCCTGTGTCAGGTTTAGAATGTAGGTGTCTGGATTGGAGCAGAAATCACTGAGGCCCTGGTCAGAAAAAAGGAACTGCTCAGATTAGAAACTGCCAGTTTTACATTCCCACAGAACTTGGTTCAGATCCCAGCCTCCTCCCTCAGACCCAGGGCCAGGCTCCCAGCCCCATTCCTTAACATCTGGGTGCCCTGGATACCAGCATCTGGCTTCTTGGGACCCAAGAACCATAACTGTGACCTTGTCACCTGGGTTCCTCTCAAGGCCCAAGGCAGTGGCTGGGCCTCCGCCCACCCTAGGACCCCCTACTCAGAGCCCAGAGCCTCCCCTTCCCCCCACTCACCACAGCTGTGGCCGCCTCTAGGCCCATGGAGCCCCAGCTCAGGACCAGCACCAGGAGACTCAGGGCTGTCATCCTGGGAGAGGGGGGCCTTTGTCACCCTCCCCCATCATAGCCCACCCTGTCCCTGCCACCCCCGAACCTGGAGTTGGGGTGAGGGGGTGGGCATTGATCACTGTCAAAAGAACACTGGGGTGCTATGCAGGGTGCTGCTCAGCGGGACTCTGGGACCCTGGAAGGCCACTGCCCAGCTTGGGGCTAAGTTTCCTGGGCTTTCAAATTCCTCTTCCTCCTCCCCATCCCTGGCTCAGTTTCCTTTCTGGGAGGCATAGGGAAGTTCCAGGGCCCAAATGCAGCCGCCTGGGATGCATGAGCCATAGGGGACTGGCTTGGTCGTCATTTTTATAGAAAGCATGGCCAAGCCTGCCCATCTACAGGTTGGCTCCTGGTGGGCAGCTCTAAAGCCCAGCCCCGCAGGGACTCACAGGACCACCAGCCACTTGCTCTGCTTGGCGAGGCCCAGGAGGATGAAGAGGCAGACCAGGAGCACCAGGAGGAGGAGGAGCACGTAGGCCAGCCACCTGCCGACGGGAGAGTGGAAACAGGGCAATCTCAGGGGGCCAGCAGCAGCCCTGGCTCAGCCCAGCCTGGCCCGGCAGCTCCCTGTGGGAGCCATCCCCACCTCCAGACCCACCCTGAGCAGGTCACATGAAAACTCTGAGCATGAATCTGTAGGTCTGTTGGCTTCTCTGGGGCTAGTGCCTAGGTCCCAGCTATCTGAGTAACTGTCCTAGAACTTTATACTCCTGGCCTCAGTTTCCCAACGTGTCATGCCAGAAGCAGGTCAAACGTAGAGCCTGAAGAAGAGCACGCAGACACACAGATTCACGTGTGTGCTTAACAGCCGCATCTGCCATGATTACAGGGGAGACTCCCCGGTGCCCAGCATATTTCTCAGCTGAGCTCCCAGGGTTCTGGTCCCCACCTGCCTCCCTCAGGCTGTCCTGGGGGCTTGGGCTTGTTTGTTGAGAGCGGCCTGGTATGTCACTGTTGCCCCAACCCCAGTGATGATGGCGGACTCAGGTCACAAAACCCGGTCACCCTCAGATCCCAGCCTGCCTGTGCGGCCTTGGTGGGGACTGTTTGCGTGCACGTGCCTGAGCCCCGAATTTCAGGATCCAGCATTGAGTCAGCCACCTCAGCCTCATGTCTGGGGGTGGGACCCCAAGGTGGGGAGGTGTCAAGGAGGAAAGGAATAATTACTAGTGAACTAGGCCACGAGGGCTGCACAGCTAGTACCTGCACCCTCCTCCCCCCCACTCCAGTGTCACCTCCTCAGTGTGGCCTCCAGACCCAGTGGCTCACACCTGTCATCCCAGCTACTCAGGAGGATGAGATCTGAGGATCGGGGTTCAAAGCCAACCCTGGGCAGGAAAGTCCGTGAGACTCTTATCTCCAATGAACCACTCAGAAAACCAGAAGTGGCACTGTGGCCCAAGCAGTAGAGCGCTTGCCTTGAGCTGAAGAGCTGAGGGACAGCGCCCAGGCCCAGAGTTCAAGCCCCATGACCGGCCCTCCCCCCCAAACCACCTGTGACCCCCCTGGGTACCCAGTTTGAGTGGACAGGGCCACACGGGGCTGGGAAAGCCGCCTCTCACCTGTACTCCTCCACGAAGGACACATCTGCAGCCACCTGCAGGAGGCTCAGGGGCACCTCGTGCCAGAAGGCCAGGCCCTGCAGCTGCTGGGCCACCAGCTCCGCCTGGCGCCGAGCCCCTCTGGCAGCAGCTACCAGCTCCGTGCGCTGCGCCAGCACCTCCTCCAGTGTGGTGAGCTCCGCCCTCACCGCCTCGCCCAACCTCTCCACTGTCTCCCACACCTGGGGGAGGCAGGGCAGGCTGTCAGGGATGGGGGAGGCAGAAAGCACACCCCCTCTGGGAGCCTGGGGGAGGGCTGGGAAAGGGGGGACTCCTCTGGCAGGAGATCTGGAGGTCAGCGGCTTGGGCCTGGGGGTCTGGGGGCCAGTGCAGCCTCTGGACTGGCTGCAGGGCGGGAATTAGTCAGGTCTGAGCACTACGCCTGCCTCCTGAGTTGTGGGCGCCTCCTCCAAGATGTGAATCAGACTTGGAATCTGAGGTCTGATGTCTGGGAGGTCCTGGATGTCAGGGATGGGGCTCCTGAACTTGTACAGGGAATGGAGGCAGGTCCGGGGCTCTGGAGTGAGCCCAAGCACAAAGCTTGGAGTCTCTGGGCTTTGGACTTGGTCTGGTTTGGGAAACCTGGGACCGGATGTGATTCTAAGCAGGTTCCAGCACGTCTAGGATGGAGGGGTGAGGGGCGAGAGTGAAACCTGAGGGCTGCAAGTCTGGCTCTGGGGTCCTGAGGGTCAGGCCCCTGTGTGTCCCAGGCTTCATGTGTCTCCCCAGGTGGGTGACACGGGGCCCCAGTCCCTGCCCCCCTCACCAGCTGGTCGGTAGTGCTGAGTGTGTGGTTGGCGTGCAGCAGAGCAGAGCTGAGCTGGGACACCCCATCACTGGTCTCACTGTTGCCATAGAAACCAACGCCAATGCCCGCACTGAGGAGAGAGAAGGGAGGGGATCACACCGGCCTGGGACCCTGGGGGGCCAGGGTACCCCAAGCCTGATGATGGGCATACCCCACCTCTTCATCCACCTATCCCATCTCGGCACTCACCCCATTGGTCCAGCCTGCCGTGGGAAAAGAACAGTCTCTGGCTTGCCTGCCCCCCCCCGCCAGTTGCCATGGTAACGGGAAGGTCCCACACCCCCAGAGGCACGTCATTGTGATGCTAATGGTGGGTGGTGTGGTGGAAGGGAGCCCCCAGATTTAACTCGAGCCTCCCTGGAGCAGGCCCTGGAGGAGGTCACCCCCACCTCGATTGACCTGCGCCCTTTGTCATCCCCCCACCCCCGTGTCCCACACTCTCAGCACCTGTCCGTTTAGGGCCGAGGGGGACCCTACCCCTGTCTCTTGGGGGTTTCTAGGAGCCCCTGCGCCTTCACCTCACCCTGGGGGGACATGACACCCGAGTTCTCTCCCTTCCAGTACCCTGCCCGGGACCCAGGCGTCCGGCCAGCCGGGAGGGGGAGGGGGAGGATGTGGGAAGGGCGGCCGGCTGCCAGCACAGAGGGCTTCATTGTGGAGCCTCACGGCGGGGACCCTTCCCCCTCCCTCGCCCCCAGGCGGCGCCCCACATTGCAGGGGGCGAGAGCCGGGCACCCTCCGCGTTCCCAGGCCAGGCTGCCCCCACCCCTGCCCTTGGACAGGCGCCGAGTGCTCTGCCCCATTGTTCAGAGCCCCACAAAGCGCCCCTTGTCCTTGGCCCCCCGGGGCTGGCGCGGCGTCTCTCCCCTGCTGGGCCTTTTGTCCACTTCCCCCACCACCCCCTGGAGAACCTGGGGAGGGAGCATCTTAAATATAGGGCACCCAGTCCCCCTATACCCTGAATATACCCCATCCCGCTTCTCCCTGCACAGAGGCAGTGTATTCAGAGCCCAGGCTGGGAGTGGCGGGCTGGGGGGCAGCTCCAGACCCCCCCAACTGCGGGAGGCCACGCCCCAGGAGGCCCCACCGCAGGGGCCCCCAAAGCCCTGTAATCTGTGGCACTGGCCAGCTGTCACTGCTTGGGGGGCCGGCCCCCGGGGCAGGGACTCCTCTGCCAGGTTCGGGAGTCCCCCCAACACAGCTCAGAACCTCAGGGCCAGCTGGCACCTGAAAGCCACCTTCCCACCCTCCCCGAGCCTCTCCTGTCAAATCCAAGCGTGTTGGGAGTTGCTGTGGGCAGGGCTAGGGTAGGCTGGGTGCAGGGCTAGGGTTGGAGGGGTGTAGGGCTGGGGTTGGAGGGGGGCTGGCTGGGTACAAGGCTGGGGTTGGAGGGGTACAGGGCTGGGTGCAGTAGATGTCTATTGTCAGATCAGTACGTTGAATGATGAACGAATGAGTGACATCACTAGTTAACGCCCTCTGAAGACACTAGCATTACTAAGGGAGTGCACTAAAACCCACTTCAGGCCTGCCGAGGGCTTCTCTCCCTTGGGAGTGCGTGTGTGTGCAGAGCGATTTAACGGGTGTGTGTGTGCCCTGTGCCAGGCGGGAGCCCCCCCCCTCCGCCAGATGCCCCTCGAGTCCTCCCTCATTCCTGGAGAGGGGTGCCCCAACTCTCCCACCTCCCCCACCACACCCTCAAGAAGGTGGACAGGGAGTGTGAGGCCCCAGTCCCCCCTACCCACCCCCGGGCCCCATTACCAGCCCACGAGAAGGGCAGCGATGCAGCTCCACGTCGCGCAGCCCGCCCCCGACTGGGGACTCTTGGCCCCCGGGGGCTCTGGGGGGCGGCAGCAGCAGAAGCGGATGAGGTAGACAGCGATGAAGATGAGGCTCAGGCCCAGGCCCAGGCCAGCCAAGGCTGCCACCAGCAGCAGGGCCTGGGGGAGGGGGGGCCGTCAGGCCTCAGCGGCCCCTGTGAGCTACCAGGAGGGAATCCCCCCCCACGATGTCAGTTAGCTTTGTTGGTGGGCTCCCCTGACTCTCCCAAGCAGGGGCTCCAGGACTCAGGGCCAGGATGCGGGGGGGGGGGGGGGGAAGAAGTTTCAACGAGGGTGGGCTCCAGCCTTGGACTCCGTCTCTGCTTGTCCTTGGGGTGCTGTGTGACCTCAGACAGCCTCCTTCCCTTTCTGAGCCTCAGATTCCTCACCCTGAGCTGGAGATTGGTGTGTGTATGTGTGAGATCCACAAGTGTGTGTGTGCTTCTGTGTCCTGAATGTGTTACAGGGAAGTGTGTACGGATGAGTGTTGGAGCTGGGCCCCGGTGGCTCACGCCTGTCACCTCAGCTACTCAGGAGGCTGAGAGCTAAGGATTGTGGTTCAAAGGCAGGAAAGTCCGTGAGACTCTTATCTCCAATGAACCACTAGAAAACCAGAGCTGGCGCTGTAGCTCAAGTGGTAGAGCGCTGGCCTTGAGCTGAAGAGCTGAGGGACAGTGCCCAGGCCCAGAGTTCAAGTCCTATGACTGACAACCACCACCACCAAAAGAGTGTTGGGGTCTGAATCCGTGTTCTCTGTGAGTGTGCACAATGGGACTGCGTGTGGACATGTGCAAGAGCAAGTGCTTGAGTGTGCAAATGTGTGTCCTGCAGGCCTCTGGGGGCGTTGACAGCCAGCGCGTGTCCCCATAGGGTGGGGTTCTCTTGGGACCTCGTGTGTGACCCCTGCTGTGACCCGGCTTACTGGGCATGACCTGAGCCAGGCCGGGGTGCGGGGTGAGCCCGGCCTCGGGGGAGGCTGGAGGCGGCCGTTGTGTAAGAGGCTGGGGGCGCGGGGGTGTGGGAACGGGGCCCGCAGGCTGGGGGTGAGGGGATGGGGGTGCCATGGGGTGGTTGCGCCGTGGGCGCGGGGATGGGGGCCCCCGCAGGGTGGGGG